GAAAAAAATCTCTATTTTTTTAGCCCATGGTCAGCTACGATTTCCATTTAAAAAAATATAACTTTGGGTCATAACTCCGAAATCTTAAGATCTACTAAAAATCTAATACCGGCATTCAATTCTACGCCAAAGAATTAGTCTTGAGCCGTTTTTACTTTAACTCTAACTTACTTAACAGCTAAGATACAGACATGTTAAAAAGTGTCACAATAACGAGAAACGCCCTGTAACTCAGAAACAAATGAAGATAGCAAATTTCCGATCTGACAGTCGAGTTTGCCATGAAAATCGAGCTCTAGAACGTGGTGTCAGATTTATCATATCTTTAGTAGTTTCTGAAATACCCTAAATTCCCATTGAAAATGGACCAGCCTGTACATATACAAGAATAATACTGAGCTCGCACCCATGCTATGCGTCTGAAGAAGCGCAAAGTGAGTTCTATAAATAAGAATTGTTTCAATAAATTTCAGGGAAGTTACAAAAATAAAGCATAATTCAGATGCAGATTAAGATAATAACACATTTGATGTTGTAATAGATACTTTCTCAAGTTTTATTGTAAAGAACACAACACTCACATGCGAAGAACTGTGTCTTCGAAACATTGCATTTATAAGTGGCAAAAAGTCTGCAAATTAATTATGTTGTATTACTTATGATGATTATTAATTATGTGTATTTGTTTTTCTACTGAAATAACTAAACATTTAGAATGTGCTCCGAAATTATTTAACAATATAAAAAATGTAAAGAAGTGTAATGGCGTTGATGCCACACATTAAACAAAAAATAAAATAAATTATAAAATGTTCTTGGTTTCCATGGTTAGAGTGCCTTGGAAATTAATCGTTAGACAAATATGTTAGTTATTATAATGTTATACTATTGTTTAATTCAATAATCTTTATAAATTTGTACAGACTGAGTAAATTATCCGCAAAATTAAATGGAGTGTCAAGTAGAAAATAGAGCATTTTCGACAAATCCTTTTATTCACGTTCAATAGAGAAGTAAAGACATCGCATCCCGTTAGATCCATTTGAGCCGTTTATGGGGAGAGCACTATTGCGGAAAGTACGTCAAGAAAATTGTTTTCTCATTCCAAAGAAGGCTGTTTTGATATGAACGATTCTCCACTTCAGTAAGATCATCTGACTTTGATGAAGATCGTTTGAAAGTACTTGGTTCTGAAAATCAGTTCTTTCCTACTTATAGGAATCTGAGTCAGATCTGCTGATGATGGCTGCAAAGCAATATGAGTAAAATATTGCAATAAAAACAATCACTTTTGTGAAATATTTATAGAAAAAATTAATTGGATGACTTCGAAAAGTTGCTAATTAACATTTTTGACATGTACCAAATACCAAACTGATCCCGGTCTCAAGCCAGGGGCCCCATCACTCAAAAGATGGACAAGAAGGAGAGAAAGAATAAACAATTTCATATTACCTAGGTCACTCTGGCTCTGAAAGTAGCACCAATAGCTTAGAGATAATTGCATTTAACTGAAAGATGTATGAATGTAATCTATAAACTACTTTTGCCAACGGCTAATGAGATGAGTTTGGTATTTGGTACATGTCAAAAATGTTAATTAGCAACTTTTGGAAGTCATCGAATAGATTTTTATCACAACATTTCACAAAAGTTACTCATACTACTTTGCAGCCTTCATCAGCCTTACTGATTCAGACCGCTATCAGTAGGAAATAATTGATTTTCGAACCCAAGTAGGTACTGTGGAGACTTTTGGTCAGTGACACGAAAACAACAACTTACTACAATTTCAGCCAATTTGACCAAGCCCACATTTTCATAAAGACAGTGCGGGGTCCTTTAGTATTATACAGCAAAATAACTCTCCTACAGTTTTTATAAATTACAACATTTTTAAGTTTGCTGTTGACACTGGTTATTTTTAAAATTTAAATTTCTTCTACATGAAAACTCACCTGAACCCAAATCTGGACACCCTGGTGGCGTTCGGCTCCTTCTTCGGCGGGGCAAGCCGCGGCGTCGATCGTCCGGTAGGGGCGACATTGCTGGTCAGGGCGTCGGTGTCGGTGTGCTCGTTGCCGTTTCTGTCTATAACATCAGCGTTGGCGAGCCGTCTGGCGGCGTTGGCGTTCGATGCGATTGACGGGGCCGTCATAGGACGTCGCCGGAACCCGAAAGACATCGAGACGCCTTTGCTGTGAGCCATCCGCTTATTAGAATCCACAGGACTGCGCGGTTTGTTGTTCTCATCGTCGGGGCTCTGGAAAAGAAATATATTTTATCAGTCGGTAAATAGTAAAAAAGAGGAATACATAATTGAAAAAGACCGTCAAAATCAGGTTAGCTGTTCGCGAGAAAAAAAAAAGTTTTGAAATTAGATCTTATTTTGAGGTGTTTTAATTTTAATACGAAATGTGTATACAGGGTGAGTCAAATTTGTCAAATGTCGGGAACTATACGATAGTTTTCAAATAAACATTTTTGTTTCAAAAGTGCTCTTGCAAACACTGGGTGACGAAAAACTATTACATTTTATATTCCCCCAATTAACAGAAATTTGTAACCGATTCGTATAACATATTCATATAACATATTTGACTTTTTATATAACAAAAATATAATAAATAAGACTTAAAATATTCGTCTGGCGAATTAATCATTTTAAGATACACGTTCTGGTTCTACAAAAAAATCCATAAAGGCTTTACATAAATGTGGAGTCTAGAATAATTTGAGTGCGCATACTTTAACGAATATCTCGGATGCCTTTTCAGCTTTGAACATATGCTACTGCATGAATGCTTTTATAACTTGCAAAGTAATTAAAACAAGGTTTACCTGCTTGATGATAATTAACTTTTACGCACGTCTAACATTTACCATCTGTACAAAAGGACAAAGGATATCTTGGACATTTGTCAGGGTTTCGCATGCATTTAATTGTGGAGGTAAAATATATTTCTATCCAAATGACTGTTTAATCAACAAAGAACACCATTTATTCTATATTATTATTACTTGTTATATGCGTCAAAATTGTCAATAAAACTTTTTATGTATACTTACAGATGTTTTCTTAATAATATACAATTATCTTCACTTTCTCTCGGGATTTTGATTTGTGGATGAATTAGTATGCAAACTGTCAAGCCATTCATTAGAGCAGTGAAAAGCGTTTATTTTTAAACTCGTCGAAGTCGAGGAAAAAATTTGAATCCGTTTTCCAGATATGGCAAAGTCAACATTAAATTCAATTACCCAGCGAAAGTCCGACGTTTCAACTTGTTTTATTTTTATAAGTAAACGTTTTATCCATCACAAATGAAGTGATCAACTACCAATCGCGTAACAGGTACTCAATAAGACCGCGAAAGAGAAACCGACTGAATTTTAAAATACACCTGTCAGATGAAAAAGAAAGGTTATTTGGAGACAATGTATGTACAGAAGTTTACGATTCGTTTGGGACTGCCATCTACAATTATGTTCTTGCTATTCTCTTACTTTTAAAGGCAGATAATTAGATATATGTTTAATTCTGTTTATATTCTACATATATTTATTTCAGTTATTTATTTAACGCTTTGCTAACGAGTTATTATTTCCAGTTATTAAGAAAATAAAATGTCTTTGAAGTAAAAACCTAAAAATAAAAATATACACTTTGTACAATTATTTTCTTAATTTTATCAGATTTATGAATTAGGCACTAAATGCCTTTGGTACTTCCACTCTACAATGTATTCTTATAAATTCACATTAAAATGTTAGACAAAGGACAAAGATATTTGAACTGAGATCAGAAATGTATCAGAATGAATGACTAATCGGTAGATTTTATTATATCTATTCATAAAATAAAGTTTAACGTATCTTTTGGACTTAATATCTGTCGTTACATTAATTTATACATACTACATTATTTTTATATACCAAAAGGTTTTGATATATGTAAAAAGCCAATAAAATGATTTTTTTTATTTAACACACTTAACAGTATCATTTCTTGGAATTCAACTACCTACATCTGTATTAATTTGAGTAATATATAAACTGCGGAAAAGTTTAAAAATTAAATTCTTTACCAGAGTTTACACAAAAATGAGCAAGTAATATGAATTATATGTATTCATACTATTCAACTAGAACCTAAAATAACTATCTAAAAATATCTAGCATTATTTCATTGTAAATTTCAAAAGCGTGCATACATTTTTAGATCTAAATTTCCTCGTAACATAAAATTTACATAGCAATAGTAATTTGACCGGAATGACTTTCATTTTCACGAACTAATTTTGTTTATTCATACCGACTTGTTAATCTCCTGTACGTCTATTAATTTTTTGTATGCTGTATTCAACGTTATTTTAAAAGAACCAGTGCCGTGACTTGCACCGTCTACCTATACCAGTCCATGATATTCAACTGATAGTGCGTAGGACGAAAATTTATTGACAAGACACCGAAGAATGCGGTTACAGTGGGATTTTGCATGCGAGTATACTGAATACATAATTAAGAAGTAAATTTCCACAAATCTTCCATTGGCCTTAGATACATGAAGAATTTCACTTGTCACATGACTAAAGGAAAATAATCATCTAATTAAGCATAATTTGTTTCTTATGCCCAAGACTAGAAGTTTATTAACCTAAACCTGTTTTAATTTTATGTCTGCAGTAATAGGAAATTACTGACACTTTTTTAAATTTTTTAAACTTTATTATTAATTTTATACATTATTACAGCGGTGTTTTCATTCCGCGAAGCAGTCCTGGATTGCTTCATTCAAAATGGCTATTAAATGACCATCAATAGTCTGAAAGTGTCATCCTTTCAGCACTGATTTTAATTTCGGAAATAAGAAAAAATCGCATAGTACTAGATCTGGCAACTATGATTTTTGATACAAAACTGACGAATTGATATTACACACGGTTCACTGTTTCACCTTGACATTGTATTGAGACTGACGTGCTTTCTTGGGGCATGGAGATCCTTTGCCAATCCATTGTGATAGTTGAATTTTTGTGTCAATGTCGTAGCCGTAAACCCATCTTTCGTCTTTCATTATGATTCTTTGAATGAATGTCTCATCGTCATCGGAATGTTCAAGGAGTTGCCGACAGATGTCCACACAATTTTCTTTCTTTTGTTCGGTCATCAAACGAGGAAAACATTTTGCTGCAACTCCATGCATGTTCAGTTTTTCAGTCAAAATTTCATGGCATGACCCAATTGAGATACTAACCTCTTCTGATCTTTGGCTTTCTGAATGTGGGAGCCATCAGTTGAAGTTGAAGGCCTTCCTAGTCGAGGATCATCTTCAATTGACCGAGGACCACTTTTAAATCATGAAAACTGTTTATAACATTGTATACTACCCAGAGCATAATTTTCGTAAACTTGTTTCAAAAGTTGAAACGTTTCCGCAAAAGTTTTCCTCAGTTTCACGCAAAATTTTACGTCGCAACGTTGTTCAAGAAAATCGCTCATTTCAAAAATCGTCACTAACACTACAACATGTTGCACTCAAATAACAATATCACGAAAACTAAATAAGATATCAACAATCCAAGAACGTGTCTTTAGAGATGTGGTTATACGCAACGCAATGTTGCTAACCGCATATTTTTAACTATCTCAATAAGCACATAATTCAAAAAGTTCGGTTATTTTCTGAACAGACCTCGTAGACTTTAGTCCAAAGTTGCTTCATTTGTAATCTACAGAAGGTTCAAGTTTTTGAAAAATATCACAAAGTTCAACTTAAATTGGAACAAATTAATTTCGTCATTTCATTATTATGGCTTTAAATGAATATACAGGGTTTCGTCATATTTGAGGTTATGTAGTAATGCCATCTATTCTTTTTCAAAAAACTAATACATTCAATCTAAAAGTACAAGGCTCCCTCCTCCGCATGCCGTTGAGTTTGCTCAAATATCTTTTTTTTTCGTTGAGATATCACATGTTGAAATTTTTAAGCTTCTCAGTTTCTTAATATGCGAAAATCTACTAAGGATCCCTTAGACATCAAGAAGTCGATTGCAATTCAGAAACTTCATACCCATACGGTTTGTAAGTTTGGAGTTGGTGGGCTTGGGGTTTGTAAGCTTGGAGTTTGTAGGTTCGGGTTTTATGGGATTGGGGTTTGTAGGTTTAGGGGATTGTGGGTTTAGGGTTTGTGGGTTAGTGGATTTGGAGTTTGTGAGTTTGAGTTCGTATGTATTGAAGGTTTCTGAGTATGAAGTTTCTGAACTGCAATCAATTGTTTGACGTCTAAGGGATCCTTAATATATTTTCGCATATTAAGAAACTGATAAACTTAGAAATTTCAACATGTGATATCTCAACGGAAAAAAAATATTTGAGCAAACTCAACGACATTGGAAAGAGGGAGCCTTGTACTTTTAAATTATATGTATTTTTTTTTTAAAGAATAGATGGCATTACAATATAACCTCAAATATGATGAAAAGGAGTGTTTTTTGCACTTTTAGGTTAGGTTATATTGTTCCACGTGATAGAGCAATTCTGCGGCCAGATTAGGATTCAGTGCACCAAAATTCTTCGGGAATACATATTAGTGTGTCTGCTTCTTGACCCTTGTTGACCTCTGTTATTTTAAAGAGTTTTGAGATATTGACTCGAACTCCGAAAAACGCTTCGGAGGGATTTGTGTGCACCAGTGGCTTTTGTGCGGAAATGCCACAAACCTTTTTAATTAAAAAAAATATGATACGCCATTGACTTTTCCCATTTTGATATATTTTTAGAAATCCGTCATCAATTCTGAATGAAATTGATCCGTTCAATTTTTTCGTAGAATGCATTGTTTTCGAGGAAAAAAATAAAACTTATTTTATTTCAATTTTTAATTTCTATTGATACGTTATCTAGTAGATTGCTGTCAATATTTCTAAATAAAATACAACCATCAAATTTCTAGTCAATATATTTAAAACTCTGAAATAATTAATAAAAATAATTAAAATTTAAACTCTCTGTATCTCGGAAACGAAGCATATTTCGACCTGCTTACTTACGCTTATATGAACTTTTTTCACAAAATAACTTGGGCAACCACCCCCTAAAATATATCAAACTTATTTACAAACACCCTGTACTCAATCACCCTCAATCGATACTTTCTAAAATATTGAAATTTTCGCAAATCGAACTGACGAATTCTAAAATTTAAATAACTTCTTCCGAAATACATTTGACAAAATTGAAACAGAATAATTCCATATC